GCTTCACTTCCTCCTCTTTCCCCTCCTCGGGGAGAAGGAGGCTCGATGATCGAGGAACGAGGTCATTGGGCGCTTGTTTTCCTTTTTCGTCCTCTTTAAGTGGCCTTTCAGAGGCATGCAGTGGGACCTCTGGAGGCCTCTGAGGGCTTCCGAGTCCTCCAGAGTTCTCGTCCACTGTGCTTCTCGTCCTCTGTCGCCCCTCCGTCCCTGCTCCCTCCATCCCGAGACCCCTCCTCCCTCCGTCCTCCCTCCTACACCCCCTCCTCTTCTTCTTCCTCCTCCTCCTCCTCCTCCTCCTCCTCTTCCTCCTCCTCCTCTTCATCTAGTTCCTCCCCCCCTCATGCTCATCCCTCCTCCCTCCTCCCTACACAACACTCTCGACTCCGCAGTCCCTTCTTAGTCCTACCTCCTCCACCTTCTGATGAGAGCACTTGGATCCTTCAGAGGAGGAGGAGGAGGAGGAGGAGGAGAAGGAGGAGGAGGAGGAGGAGGAGGAGGAGGAGCAGGTGTGAGCAGGGCCAGCATCAAGAGGAGGGGCAGGAGGAGGTCAAGTTAGCCAGGTCGAGCAAGTCAGAGAGCCCCGCCTACCCCCATCCCCCCCTCCCACAACGTAAGAACCAAGTGCGGCAGAACTTGATCTTGGGATCGGAACGCGCTCCCACGTCGCAAACGGAAGGTGCTCACGCGCGGTCCCGCTTTCGACGACTTGGCGAATAGTATGCAATGCGGGCCGCGCATCGGCGAGAGCGGCAACACTTGGGATGGGCGCAGCGAAGACGAAGCATGCACCGCGCTGGTACAGCCTTGCCACTTTCACTCGCAAACTGCGACGCGTTTGGGCGATGTCGGCATTTCGCCCGCTCTCGCGTGGCGCAGCTGTCGCTGTCGCTTCCATGCGCTTCGGCGAACGATCCATGCGCCCTTCGCCCGCGCTGGAGCGCCATCGCCGACCTAAACGCGCACGGAACTTGGGCGAGGGCAAGAGGTCGCCCGCTCGCGCGGCCCCCCCGCCAAAGTTGGGCGAGGGGCGGATGTGCGGCGCGTCGAGGCGGGGACGCCAGCTCCGGGCGAAGTCGGAGCGGCGCCGAGGCGAGAGCTCCTGCAGTGGAGACCCCTGCCAAGACGCCCCCCCTGCCTGCCTCCAGGGAGCCTCGGGCTTCCTCGGCTTTCGATGGTCCCGCTGTGGGAGAGCGCGACGCTCCCACGCCCAAAATCGAGGGGACGCCCTAGGGTCTCAGGGCTGGCTTTCTCGTGGAAGGCTTCTTGTGGTCGGGCCCCCACTGTGGGCTCGTCCGCCCGCGCGTCCGCGCAGACGCGCAGGCGCGAGCACCGTGCGCCACGCCCGGAGGGGGAGCGGGACCGAGGCGAGAGCGACCTCTCGGCCTCTCGCGCGGGATGCGCGCCCCGCCCCACGCCAGGGCTCGTTCCGCTTCTCCCGGTTCGGTTCGATTCGATTTCGACGGCTTCAGATTCCGATTCGGTTCCACTTGGGGTTCGCCCCACACCAGGGCTCGTTCCGCTTCTCCCGGTTCGACTCGATTCGATCTCGACGGTTTCCGATTCCGATTCGGTTCCACTTGGGGTTCGCCCCACTCCAGGGCTCGTTCAACTTCTCCCGGTTCGACTCGATTCGATCTCGACGGTTTCCGATTCCGATTTGATTCGACTTGGGTTTCGCCCCACGCCAGGGCTCGTCCTGCTTCTCCCGGTTCGATTCGATTCGATCTCGACGGCTTCCGATTCCGATTCGGTTCGACTTGGGATTCCGTTTTGGGATCCGATTTCTCATTGGAGGCAGCCTAGCCTGCCGATGTCCGCCGATTCGATGTTTCCCGACTCGGCTGCCGACCGTCGCCGATCCGATTTGTCTCGATTGCAGATCCGACTTATCGATTCGATTCTGGAAGAAAAAGAAGGGGAAGGAAGGTGAGGAGGAGAGGGGGAAAAGGTTCACGGGCGCTTGCGTCAGCCCAGCGGCTTGCTTGGGACAGGGGGCGAAGGAGGGTGATCTAGGGGCAGGGCGACATGAAAGAAGGGGGGATCAGGAGGGTATGATCAACAAGAAGCACCTTGACAATAACACTCGGGCCACTGTGGAGAATAATAAAAGCATGATGAAGAAACATGCCACATCGTATTCGTAAGAAGAACAGGGCTAACAACAAGGAAGGGGAGACTGAGGGGTAGGAGGGATAGGAGGATAGGGGGGGAGGGGGAGGATGCATGATGTACCCCAGATCTTCTCTTTTGGTGGGCACGGGTCTCGCAGCCCCTTCCTCGGGGGGCCTCCGAAAGGCGCCCCAGGAAATTCGGTACTCGTTCCCGCTTCTTCCGTACTGTAGAACCCTTGAGTCAGGCGATCGCAAGCATGGATCAAGGGGGCGTGGATTAGCGACGGGTCTTGTTTCCATGGGAAATCGCGGATTTCCGCCGCCGAACGAGGCGGCACTGGCCGCATTTTGGGAAGGGCACCTCCCCTGATCCATGGATTTGGCGACCGCGCGCCAAATCCATGGATCGCTCATCCATGTTTGCGCGCTCCCAATCGAGGCGGAGGGCGGAGGCGGGAGCAGGAAAGAAGGGTGATGATGAGGAGGAGGGTGTGCGAAAGCTTTCGCCCTTCTTGGGCCTCCGGGAGGGCCCTCGCCGCCAAGCCGAATCCGGGTCGAAGAGATGATGATCAGGACGCGCTCCTGGAGAGGAGCCTGGAGGTTGGCCAAATTGAGGTCCGACCTCCATTCTGGAAGTTTTTCGCTTTCTATTCTAGAGGTCATGTCCATCATTCTGGATATTTCTGGAGACTTTCGAGCGTCTGGGCAGTTATAACCGTTCAAGATATGGTCTCCAAAGGTCGAGATCCCTTCGCCACAACTGGTGCCCACCAGGCTCCCTCGTCAGCGTTGCCTCCCTCTCGCTCTCTCTCTCTCTCTCCATCTCTTTCTGTTTGCCCCGTATCCTCGGTTGTACTCTGTTTTCTCTGGACACCCCGTGCAGGAAAGAACACCTCAGCCTCTCTTCCGTTCCTCCTTTCCTACACCGCCAGCACACCACCATCACCACCACCATCACCATCCCGTCATGATCAACGATCATCAAAATCATCGATCATGGTCTCGAGCGGGATCCTCTTCTCTGAGTGAATTGCGAGGAAACCTCGAGCGGGACCCCCCTCCCTATACGTAGCCTCCCCAAACCATATTACTAATCCGAGCGGATCAACAAAATCTTGAAATTGTCGTAGCTTTGCTTTCTATGGATATGGAATAAATCTCTAGCGGGAGTCCCCTCCCTATGGGGCCTCCAGAGGATGTTACTAATCCGAGCGTGTTATCCAAATCCTGCAACCGTCGTCGTTTTGAGCTCCTGAGGCCTGCATCTGGAACAAGTCTCTAGCGGGAGCCTCGTTTCTGAGTGAATTGCGAGGAAATCTCCAGCGGGAGCCATCTCCCTATGGGCCTTCCAGATCATGCAATTAATCCGAACCGGTCATCAAAATCCCGAATGTGTAATTATTTGGTTTTGAATATGGAGGAACTCTCGAACGGTGGCTCGGTGTGTGATTGAACTGCGAAGGGTCCCGAGCGTGAACCCCCTCCCTCTGGGGCCGCCACATCATTTTACTCATCCGAATGATGCATCAACATCATGCAATTTCGGTGTCATTGTGCTACTCCGCCAAGAATATGAAGGAAGTTTCGAGCGGGAGCCTCGCCTCCGAGTGAGTTTGGAGGATGTCTCGAGCGAGGTCGTCGTTGCTTATTCGAGCGGGTCGTCCAAATCGTGAAAACGTCGTCGCGTTTGTGCTCCTGAGGCTTGTATTTGGGGGAAGTCTCGAGCGGGCACCTCTTTTCTGAATGGTGTGAGGACGTCTCGAGCGAGCGGCTGTCCGTGAGTGAAATGCGAGGACGGCGGGAACGCCCTCCTTATGGGGCCACACGAGGGGGCCATCCAAACCCTGCCTGTCGTCGCGTTTGGGCTCCTGTCGTGGCGACTGGATCGTGCATGGGACATCGTTGATACACGTCGTACCTTCGTTATTGGACAGCGAGGTCACGCATGTGTCCCGCGCATCCTGTCGTCGTGCTTGGACCGCGAATGGGGCCACCGTGTGGTCGTCGAGCTGACAACAGCAGACAACAGCAGAAAGCAGGACTGCACATCGCCTGTGCTTCGCGAGTTCAGAAGTACAGCAACGCGAACATGCGGCCGCTGGCACGCAGGAGAGGCTGCACGTCCGCGTTTTGGTCATCGAGGCTGTGAGCGTGGTAGTGGCCGCGTTGTACAATGCGCTTGACCCCCACGCGTGCCACGGAGATATTGGCACATGCGACGTGCAGGAATCCACCTATGAGCGGCCGCGCCACCAATTCGGGCGCGTCCCCATCGCGTTGCATACCGTCGGTTTCTTGCAGCTGCCCACCAGCACCATCGGCCTCTTGACGGACGTGAGCCAGCTCCTAGACGACGGGTCGAACAAGTACGCGGAGCCGCGGACGGTGGATATCCAGCGCGCCATCAAGGTGTTCTCTCAGATCCCCTACGTCGTCGAGCTGAGGGGAACGAAGCGCTTCGAGCCCGGGGATCCCCCGATCGCGCGGCATGCGCAAAGGCAGGCGCTTCCCGCCAGAGGTCTGGCCCGCCTTGGAAAAGACGCTGGCCTCAGACAACCTCGGTGTCCTGGACCGTCGGCACCAGCACGAGAACTTCGGCTAGGCTGTGACATGGGCAAATACTGGGAGACGGTGGCGAGGTGGATCAGTACGCGCGCTCGTCGCGACGAGCGGCGTCTGGGCGTGCCTCTCGTTTTCCTTTATTTTCCTGCGGGCCGTGGACGAGCGCAACGCGATCCACGGAGATCCCGAAGCGGGCCAGCGTCTCATGAACGTCCCGAACATGCACAAAACGGGGGACGTCCACAGCGTTTTACCACTCGCGTCGGCATGGAGGTTCGGTTCTTGGCCGTGCAGGAGGAGCTGAATAATCATAAGTCAGGGCTCAAA